ATAAATTACTCTGAGAATTTTGTATACTATGTAAACAATTACTCCGTTGATTTCAATAATTCTCTAATTGATATCAGTTCACGGTTAATTTTGAAATAACGTGAATGTTCACCCAGAGTAGGTCCTTAAATTTATAACTATATTCCATTCAGTAGTTTCAATTATAATGAATATTTTCTCAAAATCTGCAAAGCCAAATTCTCCTTACTTTTGTACTCCAGAATATTCAAATAATACCATTTATTCAAGTATTGGTTTGTAGGGATTTGGTTGAGTGGTTATAGGATTTCATCATGAGCTGACATTGGTTAGAGAACCATTGGAAAATCTGGGAGTACTAGACAGTTGTTTCATCCCAGTTTGGGACTCTTCAGCAGTATGCACTCACCAGGGTTCGAACCCAGGCCTTGCAACCAGAAGGTCATGGGTGGGTGCGTACTGATGAAGAGTCTCAAACTGGGACGAAACAGCTGTCCAGTACTCACAGGTTTTCCAATAGTTCTCTAACCAATTTCAGCTCATAATGAAATCCTGTAACCAATACTATTTATTTCCCTGATAAGGTTACATGTATAAGTCACTTATGATTAAGAAAGTTGAAAAATTGCATTTTTCAAGTTGGTTTGACTTCACAGATAAATTTACTTTCTAACCTAACTATCCTGTCACCTTTTAAAATTTTTTCTGACAAATATTGACTCCTATGACTCAAATATGTTCTTTCTTTTCTCTTCGTTTGTTGTGTAGAATAGAATAAAAGCAATAAACTCTGTTGGATGAGTTAGATCTACTTACTTTTCTGATTCTTTTACATCCACCGTAGTTTTAAAATTTATTTACAGTGTGTCACCTTATGATATGGATGTCGAATAAAGTCGGATCACGTTAGAAACTTTCTTCATATCCACAGAACTAATTAATGATTAGTACAGTAACGCCTAGCAATACCATACAACCTTTGAAGTGGCGTATATATATATATAAAACGGCAGAAGATAAGGCAATTGGGAACGGAGAATATTTATTATGGGAAAACGTATCATATTTATACATTTTTAACCGCATTAAAACTCGGTTAGGTTAGAGGACAATAAACTGTTCTGATTGGTTGGCGACTGGTTCAAGGTTAAATAAAGGGGCGAAAAGATTTCCAATGAGGTTATTTCCAGACCACAACGTAAACTAGATCCATATTTGAGGATAAACGCTTCTAACTCTGCAGCTATAGACTTGAAATGTTCATTTCAGTTTTGGCCGCTTCCTATCAATATATATATATATATATATATCAAACAATGAATACACACAAAGAGTCTGTTTATCAATCAATGGACGTCTAAATAGTTACGATTTCTCATTCTTCAGACCGGTAATTACGGTTGGACAGTAGCAAGTTGTTCATTTATTATGGTACTCATTTATTTTATAAGGACTTACACTAAGGAACATGAGTGATTTAGTGTGTATCCTTCCAAGGTATTTCTGTTTCGAATAATAGTTGTCAGTATATTTATATTTGATTTACTTAGTGAATTATAGTGAAAGTTATTTAAGCTATAAGAATGAAGATGACACTGACAAATACTCGATTAACTAACTTTTTACCTCAAAATCTGGTGCACGAAGGATTGTTAATTATTTACATTCATCTACTTGAGGTAATTTAAGTGTATATGCAAATCTTATGGGCAAAATCCACAATTTGATATAAAGAAGTCATGTAGTCATAATTTAATGAAAGTTCGCACAAAATTAAGCAGTCATGTAACTAAAATCCAAATAAAGACATCAAACTCCTAAAGATTAGAAATAAAGTAAATGCTCAACGAATAAAAACGAGGAGTGCAGATAACCACCTAATATTTTTCGGGTATGGTTATTTTCTTTAAACTAAATGGTCTATTGAGGAGCTTCCATCGTTTTTCTAAATATCTCACTTCAGTTTGACTTCACAGTGAAGGCAGAGAACACAACTAGTCGACAGCACCCACCCAAGCTTTGTATTCTCACCACTGTTTCATAATCTAAAATAGAAACGAAATATTGTTCAAAACTAAACTGTTCGATGTTAAGAAGTCACATGAAAGACATACTGTTCAAAAATTTACAAGCCTGAAGGCTCATCGGACGAGTTTTGATTTTTACAAGGTAATAACTAATATCCATCAAACTGAGATTTTCAAGACGTTATAGGAAGATGCAACAAGCCAGAAGCTCATTAACAACATGAAATTCATGCCATTTCTTAAAGTATTCTTTCTTCGAGTATTAGTTTGTAGGGATTTGATTAATTACGGGTTCGATCATGGGTTGATATCAGTTAGAGAACCATCCAAAACCATGAAGTACTGGACAGTTGTTTCGTCTCAGTTTGGGACTCGTTGGCACTACGCACCCACCGTGGTTCGAATTAGAAGAGGTTAGAATCCATGGGTCACTGAGTCAGGTCCCAGTGGCTGAATGGCATATGAGCTTGCCCTTTAACCAGAAGTTCCTGGGCTCGAACCATAGTGGATGCATGCCCCTGATGAGTCTCAAACTTGGACGAAATGGCTGTCCATCACTTCCCGGTTTTCAGTGTTTCTCTAACTGATATCAATCAGTAGTCAAACTTGATTAACTATTATTAAAAAACTTATCAGCACTAGATACATGGAAATTTTTGTATTGTATTAAAAATGCTTTATACATATATATATTAGTGTAGAGCCATAATAATAACATTTTTATTCTGCACAGTATTGCCTGATATTTCTCCTTCGTACAATATCTTCAAGTAAAATATTAATTAAACAGTATGTACTGTGATACAATGGTCTCTGAGCTGAAACACAAACCATTCCATTATGATATATATATCCGCATTGTCTCCTTCAAGAAATCCACCATATCTAGTTGAAAGCCAATTGTAAGATGATCAGAGGTACATTCTGATATCAAAGGACATAACTGAAGAATAGTTATCTCATGTACTGCATCACGTTACCATCCAAAATCAGGTCTTTCCTCAAGTTTAGTAGAACCTGGCGAATCATCAGCTTGTAAACACCTTACATACACACAAGAGTAGATAACATCATTAAAGGTCATATCTCAATCGATTAAAACAAACCGAACGAGGAAAATATATTCAATAGAGAGATGGAAGTTTTTGGTAGCTCAAGTTTTAAGCAGGCAGACAAAGAACTAATTGATGAGCAAATATTTCTTCGCTCAATTCCTTTGTCTTCTAAATATCTAAACAGGACAGTTAATGGTGGTAAACTTTAGTCTGTATTCATAATATTCTCTGTTTATCTGTTTCACTGTCAATTCTCTCTTTTTCCTTTCACTTAGTATAACCCATTATTTCTAATGATATTCACTTGAATTACTTATTCATTAGAATTGATATTTTTTAAAAACATTATTATCATTTTGAGTTTTCAGAAAGCAAGCAAATAACCAGAAAGTGAAAATTACACTTGATCCTCTTTGAACAAGAAGTAGCTCTTGTGGTTTAGTAGCTTATTGAAATTCGAAGTATTTGACGCTAGGTTGGAGTTCAGTTGGGAACACTATCACTTGTTAGGATGTAGGTATGTTAGGCTGAAAAGTCACATATTGGACAAAGCATCCTTCTGAAATTTAACTGTTAGCCATAACTTACCATAATACATCTGATTCATTTCTGTATTGCTTCTTATTCTTTAGTTGTCGTTAACTTTTGAACAGAAATAAACACTTTTTTTAAGTGAACAGTTGGTGAAATAAAACCCAAGGATAGTTGGAAATAAGCCTGAGTTCATTCAATAACTTATTATCGTCAGCAATATAATTACCCATTTCTTAATTTCAAAACCTTTTTAATTAACACATTGTTCATAAATGACTTTTATGTTATCTGAACTAAAACAACCTACAAATCTTCTATGGACAGATTCAAGTCCACCTATACACAACAGCAAACAAGTCCAAGATCCTGTGAAAGACCAGGTTCATAACAGTTTCGTAGAGAAATAACAGACAACTGGAAACTTATACAGGATTTTATCAGGAGCTGACATCGGTTAGAGAACCATTCGAAAAACCAACTGGGAGTACTGGACAGCTGTTTCATTCTAATTTGGGACTCTTCATCAGTACGCACCCACCGGGGTTCGAACCCAGGATCTCCTGGTTACAAGGCGAGCTCGTGGACCATTAAGCCACTGGGGCCCGATTCAGTGGCCCAAACTAGGAGGGAACAGCTGTCCAGTAATCCCAGGTTTTCTAATAATTCTCTAACCGATATCAGCTAATGATGAAATCCTGTGACCAATCAATCGAATCCCTACAAACCAATACTTGGAAACTTATGCATTCACCTCAAGATGCTGTTCATTAGATACATCTCTTGGCCGCCTGCTTGAATTACTGAGCTACCTGAATTTCCACCCAACACATTACATCATATTCTCTCTAATTCTCACTGTCTTAACCATTTTATTACATCCTTGGGTCACAAAATGTTCTCACGCACATTTTTAGTTCGCTTTCAAACCACCAATGCGCATCTTGCGGGAACGAAAAACAAGTATCATAAGAGATTAGTAGATGCTTCTGATGTAACAGCATTACTTCACGTGATATCCTGTAGACTGCTATTTTACTTGAAGATCCTGGATGACGACGAGATGTGGAGCAATAAATTACACTGAGAATTCTGTATACTATGTAAACAATTTCTGAAGAATAAAACTTTTATTTATTTATTTTTCAAAATATTATTAAATTGTCTTTTAATCTCTATGACCACTGCTTCGTTTGTCGACCGGTAGCATGTTTTTAATTTTAAACTTCATGAAAAACAACTTTCACCTTCTTTAACTTCAATAGTTCCATTTTTAGTTTCTTTCTATTTCTGTCTTTCCTACCTTATGCATGTGTGTGCGTGTGTGTGTGTCTGTGTGTGTGTGTTTGCACAGATTTAGAGATAAAATAACTAAATGAAAAGCATTGCATCTTCTTTCTTTTTTAATGCACAATCTGAACAGCTTCAATCCCTATGATTGGTTAAAAGTGAATTGGAATTACATAAATCACTATTGCCCAACAAATAGAAATTGAAGGCAAAAAAATGTAGGCAGTAGATGAATAGTGAAGAGAACAGTTTACTGGAATTGAAAAATTCTTATCTTTATCTTGTCAATTCATTTTATCACTGCAGAGTAAAACACTGTCTTTGGAAAATGTACACGTTTGTGAAATAAACCTTATTTAGTTGCAAAAAATTTCATGTAAAATGCAGATAACTCAGTTTACTTTGGATTAAAGGATTTTCTACTCTTATTACAGTAAGTATTACCAAATCTGTAGATATATGTACACATATATTTGCATAAAACTCTTATAAAACTACAGTTAATTATCATACATATATATTTAATTATATAATGGAAATTCGTAAAAGTATTGAAGCTAATTTTCTCACCTGCAAACACTGTCATCAACCATATAAACAACCTAAAGCCTTAGTATGTTTACATTCATTTTGCCAGTCATGTCTAGAAGATATTATTTCAAAGCGTAAAGCAGATGAAGAAGCCAAAGAGATTGAAGCCTTGAAATTGTTGTATAAAACATCAAATTCTAGTGATTATACATCTGGTTATCGTCGTAAATGGTCATCACGTTTTCGTTATGGTGATTACTCGTCATCATCAGCCTATGGATCTTCACGGTATACTCGACAAGCTCCAACAAAAGATGATGTAATCACATGTCCAATATGTCAAAAGGATACTATTGTACCAAGCGGGGGAGTAACAAGTCTACCAGCGGATCAGTTAGCTGATAAACTTGCCTCTATGGTAGATCGTATGCCTAATTTTCCTGTTTGTGATGTTTGTACTAAAGAACCTTTGATGACGAATGCACATTTAAATGGCATTAAATCTCAACAGTCCAGTATGCAGACTAGATTTAAACAGTCAAGATATACAGACTTCAATAGATATGCTAACAGTGATGATACACTAAGTGAGGATGACAGTGCAGAAGATGAAGGGGTTTCTCTTGATAAATTAAGTATGCAAGACAGTGTAGACAATTCAGAAGCATTCAGTCCTCAATCAGCACGTGAATCCAATGATCGACATAAGGAAAGAAATCAAAATCATTTACGGAAATCTCTAACCACAGGTCGAAGATGTAATGATTCAATTGGTCCAAGACCAGCAAGTGCGGCGTGTTTAGAATGCGGTAAAAGACTGTGTGATTACTGTCAAGAAGCTCATTCTAGAATGCCAGTCACCTCCAACCATGTACTAATTCAAGTAGAACAAATGGAACAACTTCGGTGTGATAGACATCCTCGTGAGTTGAGACGATTTTTTTGTCTAACTTGTCGGGCTTATATCTGTATTATATGTGCTTTTGAAACACCTACTGACAATATGCTTTCAAAAAAGGAGAATTTAATTTACTCTGGTCATGCAGATCATGATATATTATCGATGAGACAGGCTGTTTCTGCTTATCAAGATCAATTGAGTTTAAAAAGTGCTGAGACACAATCTCATATGAGTCAAATTGAACTCTTTTTAACTGGTTTACAGATCTGCGAAAATGAAATGCGTCAGTTACGTACAACAATTGAAGATACTGCAATGGCTTATATTGATCGTATTCATTTACAAAGAGCAAAATTATGCGAACAGGTGGATAAAATGGTCGGTATTGAATTAGATCAAATAACTACTGAGTGTAATCGATTAACAACTGCTACAGCAGCATGGTATAATTTTATTAACGATGATTGTGTCACTAGTCGTTTAGACCTTATGGATCCTATTGAAGCGTTAAGCGAAGCAGGACCAATAATGGATCGATTGAACAGGTGTTTACAACTAGCTTCCAGTTCAATGTTAACTACTCCTGAGTGGCAGTTGTTTTTGTCTCAGTTAGCAGTAGCAGAAAAAACTATCCAAAATACAAATTATAATTCAAGTAAGCTTGAGAAAACAAACGGTGATGTCAGTGACAATGATGACGATAATAAAAGTTGTGACAGTAATTATGAAAAAGAACAGTTAACAGAAGATCCACGTATAACATTCTGGCGTTCTAGAATTGGTAGTTTTCAATCAGGTGAAGTGAATCTAGGCCGGATAGTCACTCCAAGTCAGTTAGCTGCAGAAGCGAAAGTTAAAGCTGCACAATTCATCAGTACACATGTACAAACTGGTCCAGAATTGATCAAAACACTACCACCACCAAAAGGAGCACTTCTTCATCGTGCTATACAAGTCGACTTTCTAAATGCTAATTTAGACGATCGAGGTACACAGACAGACGCACCAGCTTCAAAAAATGTATTTCATCTTAAAGTGGATGCTGGTACACAATATTTAAGTTCAGATGTAAATCCGCCTGTGAGTATTTATCGTTCAATTAAACAAATTCTAGTTCAAAAATGATAACCTATTGTTCTGAAGTAGATTCAATACCTCTGTTTCTCTCCAAACATTACCTACTTTCATTGACAACGACATGAAACAGCAAAGAAGGATATACTGACAACAATTATCGTTTTAACAAGCAACAGTGTTTCCCTTTGCTCGCTTCCTTTCTGCCTTGCAAAATTTTTGTGTATATCATATAACACAGCATGATATTAAATTGTATTCTACTCACTTTTCTATCTCAAAATGTCATATCAGTCAAATAAAACAATTTAGAAGTATAACAATAATAATAATAAATTCTTCAACTGTTCAATGAATTTGAAAATTTAAAAATGCATTAAATTAGATCTTTTGCTTTTCTAAGAAGATTCTCTTTCTTTGTTATTTCTTTCTCACAGTTTGTATAATTTTAAAAAATGCACTGACAAGGTAAAGTGATACTTATTTCCTTAAAAGTGACTTCTTCTTCCTTATCGTAAATTACTGTGTGAGCCTAATATTAAATTTTGATATAATACATATATATATTATAATAAAGATGCTAAAGAGTACCTTTGAAGAAACTGTTCTTCGTTCATGTGGTCTCAGGTCATCGGTCTCCATTTGTTAGGAGGATTTATAAGTCGAGTTTAGAAATGAAAAGCTGAATGTGGACAAAGTGCTCATAGTCAGAATTTCCACTTTATTTTAATGATTTTTCGTCTGCATGAGGTCTGTCACAAATCTTCAGATGTTTGGGTCTGTATCAGTCAGTGAACAAATAGTATAACTTATCAGTATCCGGCTTAAACAACTATTCATATAGAATAATATATTCTAAGTATGCCCTTCGCTAATACTTCAGAACGTTCAATGTTCTAACATTAGAAGGCTTTTTTCTTAAATCCAATTTAGATAGCCATCCCATACCGAAAGGACACTGCTGAACAACTTCAAAGACTATTTGCCTCATATAATGTTAAAGTCTATGTCAAACCTTCTAATTCTCTGGAGAAAGCGTTAGTGCATGTCAAAGATATAGTTCCCAGAATGTCACAAAGTAATTGTGTCTACAAGATAAAGTGTTCAGAATGTAATGCATGCTATATAGGGGAGAGCAGTAGGCAGGTGAAGGTCAGAGTGAATGAACATAGACTATGCACGAAACGTCCACCTAGAAATGAAGTAGAACTAAAAAGTCTAGAAAAAAAATCGGCCTTAGCAATGCATGCTATAGACAGCGGACATAAGATTGATTTCGACAATGTCGAAATTCTTGGAAGAGGATTTCATTCACATAAAGAAAGATTGACTTCTGAAGCCTTGCACATCTTAACCACATCGAATGCAGTGAATAGGAAAGAAGGGATAGACTTATCACCTATATGGCAAACTCTTATGAAGCAAGACAAATGAAAAAATCAATAAACACTCTATGAGCCTCCATGACCTTTTAAAATATGTAGGATCATGTTTATCACATATGAATTCACGTATTTTCCATATGACAAATAACATACACACACACTCATACAAAACTAATCTGTACAAACTAACTATAGAAGAGTGAACACAACAACAACTTGACATTAGTCATTACAAATATATATGATGACTACTTACATATTTTCTATTGGTAAAAATGTCCATGGACAAATGACCTTCAAATAAACTGACTTCAATTTATGTAAAAATTTTTGACTATATATTTTGATGATTAATAATAATCCGAATAAATCTGCTGAAGAAGCTGTGGCTTACACAGCGAAACGTTCAGAAAAATCTTGTTTTGATTTTCTTAACACGCTGGGATTAATTTAAACAATTTATAATGGATCAATCTGACTCGGCGCTCAAATTATTCCAGGAAGTTCGTAACACCTACGGCCTGGAAACCTATAACCAATTTAGATACTAAAGAACTAAAGAACTCTTTTCAATGAGGTAAATTTAAAAAGCGGATAGTTTCCACAGGTTAAAGCAGGACAGTAGGAGAGACGAAAAATTGTCGCAGTGAATAAGTTTTAAGTAGGATCATTCGTGAATACATAAGTAAAAGAAATAAATTATTTTTTCAAAATGGATTCTTGTCATTATTTTAGAATTAAAGAACGAAACGGAAATAGGCTATTGAATTAGCGAAATTTTTGTATACACCTAACAGTGCCACTGATCAAAACGCTTGATCCAAATGTCTTCAGTTATCCGAAAATCTGAGGCTAAGCTGCTTATTCAGAAAGTTAATACAACCACTCTTTTTCTGAGACATCATTCAACCATTCTGCAGTTCGGTTGCTGTCATCTTTTGACTGAATAGAGCTCATTTGTTTATTCTTATTCTTCGATTTCCGTAATTTCTTCAGACGATTCTATTTATCAGACTTTGGTCTTTGACGGGTAGACCATATAGAACTTTCTATCCCTCAGTCTAAATATCTACGAATATGCAGTAATACAAATGACTATGTTGTGAAGATAACTGAATCACGTGCAACAAATCCTTGTTTTTCCGATAAAAGGCAGGTCAACAGAGATTCTTCTACAAGACCGTGTTGATTTAAGTCATCACAGTTGAAAACAGAAGCTGAAAATAATAAAAGTAAACGGAATACTTCCGAATTCTGAAGGTGACAGTAAAAATGTTTTTTAAATGTTTTGAACATTTTACCTTGTTTCAAAAGATTGCATGAAATTTAATGAATTTTAAGTTCAAAAAACGTACTTCTAGAAAAAAATGCAAAAGGATTTTTACCCAGATTTTTTTCCAGGGAATAATTATTTTGAAGCAATAAATTTCTGGATCCAGCACCAATCACCATCAACGGGAGGGATTTGAAAGAGGTTACTTCATTCACTTATCTAGGGAGCATTGTCTCAACTACAGGAGGAACGGACGAAGATGTCAAATCGAGAATGGGAAAGGTGAGAAACACATTCATCAACCTGATACCAATCTGGAAATCTTCGTCACTCACCATCAACAACAAAATTCGGATTTTCAATACAAACGTCAAGTCAGTCAGTTTTTTCTATACGGATCAGAAACTTGGCGGGTCACAAAGAATATTTCCAACAGCCTGTTGCAGACATTTATCAACAACTGTCTTCGTTCTATACTGAAGATCAGATGGCCGGAAAGAATCACCAACAGGAAACTATGGGAACAAACAAAACAAGAACCAATCACCCAACAAATATGCAGGAGAAAGTGGAGATGGATTGGACACCCGATGAGGAGGCCGCTGGGTGACATCGCGCGTCAAGACCTTGATTGGAACCCGAAAGGGAAGCGGCGAGTAGGACGTCCAAGGATGACATGGAGGAGATCGTTTGAAGAGGAGCTGAAACAGTATGAACTAACATGGATGCAGGTGAAAAGTACAGCAGAAGACAGAATCAAGTGGAGACCTGCAGTTGAAGCCCTTTGTTCACTAGGAACCCAAGGGAACAATAATAATAAATTTCAGGACTCGCTGTGTTAGCTCACCTCAGTTCACTTCAAGATGTATATAGGATACTCTGCTTTACAGTAGACTGTCAATGGCTTTGACAGCTGACTAGAGATATCTGTGAATGTGACACTGGAAGTCATGGAAAGATAGAGAGCGAATGTCTTTATGTTGCAGAGATACCATACGGAAATTGGTTGACAAACACTAAAAAACCTAATTTGAGCTAAGGTTGTATTCGACAGTCTCCATCCAACCGATGAAACGTCTCTCATTTTGAAAGTGGAATTTCGTAAGAAGAGGCCATTCAGTAATCCCTTTATGCTGATAAGTTTTCTTATTTTTAAAAATGTAACCTTTTTGTTTAATTCGACAATACCCACCTTACATCATATGGATGCATTAATGCATTACACATCGTTACGCAAATGGAAAGGATATAGAAAATTTATAGAATCGATACAGACAAATGTATAATTAATTTGTAAATGTAAATTCCATAGAAATCTTTTCTAAATGACATGTAATTACATAACACAAGGATGTTATATTTTGTATGATTAATGTAGTAATTTTTTCCCTTCTATTGACTCTGCATATGCTGAAAATTTCCTAATTAGACAAAATGCAAAAACCATTTATACTGGAGATATTTTTTATAGTTTCGACAATTAATGGAAGCCTATGTGGATATTAAAGTCATTAGTAGGTTGTAACTAGACAAACGATGCTATTTTTCCCTCACTTCTCTTTAAAAAATCGAATACACAGAGCGTTTTATTATCATATAGTAAAACGAAGTTGACAAGAACAATCCTTTTATAAATAAGAAGGATATAGAGCTGTGAAAAACTTACTACCTCTATACTGGTTGAACAACTGCTTGGAAGAGATTTGTCTTCTAAAATCACTAGGAAGTCAACTTACCGTATTCATAGCCTTCGTATTGTTCTTTTCTGGAGTACGTTTAAAACTAACGCAGGTTAATGATAACTACATCGAAGACACTTAAGGTAACGTTATGTTAGATACTCTAACCTGTATAGTTTAATTGCTAGGCCTTCATCGTCCTTGTGGATGACTTTAGCCTTGACTTCCATGTGAAAATTGAGATTTAGGAATTCCCTTTGGCCCAGATATCCGTCTGTTCCGGTTTTCTTGACTGTGACTGATTGTCTTCGGAGATATGTTTTTATTTACAACTGTTACATTTTCGTCACGAAGCGACATCAGTTAGAGAGATGACTAAAAGCCAAGAAGCACTGGACAGCTGTTTCGTCCTATACTGAAACTCTTCATCAGCGTGCACCCACAACCCCATCATGGACTGAACTCAGGACCTTCAAGCTCGTTGATCATTCAGCCACTTCGGTTAGATCCCTGGTGGGATTGTGTATGCGAAATGCTGAAAAGTCCCAGGATAGGGCGAAACAGATGTTCAGTGATATCTCTAAATGATTTCGTTTCATGACGCAAAGCTAAAAATGCTAATTAATGCAAAATCCTCACAAATACTATAATCTGAATATAAATGTATTGAACTGTGTTGATATTATTCGACTCATTGATCCCATATTTGACTTTTTGATCGTGTGACGTATTGTTTATCATTTGACACATTTGATCTGCGTCAGCATGCCTGTTATTTACAAATTCATTTGGGGACCAGGCTTTAAAAAATTATCTGGTGTTCTTCATGCTGCCTCTGACTAAGATTCTTAGATAGGGAGAGCTTAGCAGTTAAGCTGTCTAGCTGAGAAAACTTCATAACACTGAAAACATCCACCTGGTCTACAAATATCCTTTACTTTAATACACTTAGGGCATTGCCTTAGTAGTATAAGCTACACTGAACTTAAAGAGCGTCACTATTTTCACTAGAACTCAAAATAAACAATCCGGCCAGGGATCGAATCAAGAACCTTCAGGTTACAAGGCAACCTCGTCGGCCGTTCACATCAGTTCATGATCAAACCTGAAATCAGTCAGATTCCTGCAAACGAACACTTGAAATTTAATCTAGTGATTCACTACAGGATGAAGTTGCCTTAAGTCAGAGTGTGAAGTCATGGCCAATGGGATCCACCAAGCTAAGCTTGAGGACATATACTCACCGATGAGATTGTCTGCTGTTAACGTTGTATACCACAAATTGGCAGAGGTTAAG